ATTATTATTATTATTATTATTATTATTATTATTATTATATACCTACACAGCTTACATCTCATTAATCCCCCGCATATACCTATACAGCCTACATTTACCTTCACAGTTTGCATTTCATTAAATCGTTTCTAGAGTCATTACTCATTATATTCAGTGGTTATCAACTCATGTAAAACCAAGTGGTCTTAGGATATCGAGGAACAAGTAACTTGACTATCGCTATTCAAATTATTTGTTCCCTTGTAGCCTGCGAACAGGCTCCCGGTTGAGTTAATGGGTTTAGTGCGAGCTAGCCAAGTGTGTTCCAGGGCGAGCGGGGAGAGCCGAGAGCGGAATGGTGACGAGGGGGAGCGCAATTCGAGAAATTACTTTTTTCGCGCTTAACGGTTTGCTTTGCTCGCCGGATTTTTTTTTCCGCCCCCGCCGGATATTTTTCCCCCTTCGCTGGGAACCTGTTCGCAGCTTAGTTCACCTACCGTGCGTTCAGCCGTTCGAACGGATACCGTAAGGAACGTTTTCGCATGAGAGGTCACATGTTTGCCGATGCATTTTTGTGGTTGTTCTTCTTTTAACGACGCTTTTAGGGTCGAGAAAGTAAAATTGGCGATGTGCTGACATCTTTTTATGTGACGCGTGATTCGTGACAAAAATTATCCGTGATGCGTGATCATGATTTAATAGAAAAATTCAGCTTGATGCGTGATTGGTACCCTACCTTTGCCACGCTCTAGATTATTTCTAACAACTTTATAGAAAAGAGAATTGAGTACAAAGTTTGATTCAACTGTATTTTACAGGCTAAAAATTAATTTTTCACAGCTTGGATTTTTTTTTAATTGTCTGCGATCTGTAGAACGACAAAAGAGGATTTACGGTAAAATGGTTGATCTTCGCTAGAATCCACTCCTCTGTCCACTCCTCTCAAGTTATTTTTAGATAGGGTATTCAAATCTCGCGTGGATAATTTTACCACGCGAGTTGCATGCATGTTTTCGTGGATGATCAAAACGCGTCTGAAGAGGCTATTTCCGAGGTCTCTTTTGCCTCTGTTTCAAAACGAGTCTTCATGCGAAACCATTCATATGAAAATGTGCTCCGCCTACAGGCTCATTTTCATGCAAAGTTTCGCACGAAGACTCGTTTTGAAACAGAGGCACAAGGTAACTCGGAAATGACCTATTCTCTTCGGGTAATCCACGTGAATAGCATTCGCGTCACATGATTGGCTATTTCTAGACCCACATCCCCCCACCTTTGGAATTTCTGAAGCGAGTGACCTAAAAATAACTTGAGATTACTTTAGGAATAAGGCCTAAATGAAGGATAAACTCACTTACTCTTCATCTTCTCTTGAGAACGACAGGAACGAAAACGTGATAAAGCGTTTTACATCACCCGAGAGCATTAAAAGTTACTGCCTGCTAATAATCTTGTTAAGGTTTAAAACAGACTCACGAAATTGATTCAAGTTTCTTTCCACATTGGTTATGGCGCGCAAACTAATTATATTGAGTAAATATGATTGTAATCAGTCTTCGATAGCACTTAGGCTGTGTCGGGTGAGAGGATCAACAGCTCTGGGAGCGATGCCTTTTCTAAGCTGCTCAATTTATCCCGTCAATATTCGTCTGGGTGCACGTTTGCCAATAAAACCGAGCAAGTCTTAGAACGAATCCTTCGGTCCAAGTATTCTATGTACAAGCAAAGTTATTATGCACAAGCAGATCATCTACTTTGGCCGCGGGACTTGAAGGAAGTTTTTCTTTGCTTTGACTTCTGGTTTTAAACCTTCGTCATCGGACGACGCAACGGAGCTCTGAGACAAGGATCTGGACGAGCTTGGTGGGTCACGTCGAAAAAGATCTCCAATCGGAAGAACTTCAGACTTGTCATCACTCACGGGAAGGGAATTTCCATCTGATTCTTTCTTTTCTTCTGTTTGACGATCCTCATCCTCGAGGTTTAAGAAAGACAACTCTTGAACCAACTCTTGTACCATGTTTTCGTTATGCTGGTCGTCATTTGAGCACCGAAGGTGTTTGATAGACTTTTCAGTGTCAACGCACTCATCGCGTCTATTCTGCGACGTATCTGGAAGCGTTATCATCGGTGAAGCAGCTGACCAGGCGGGGCGGGAGGAATTTGGTTGCGTCATGGTCTCAGGAGCAATTCCGAGACTTCCAACAGAGCTCCTGACGTCATCACGTGAACTCTCGAGATTATCACGTGAACTACGGAGCTCATCACGTGAGCTGTCCAAGCTATCCCGTGAACTATCCAAGTTATTACGTGATGCGTCAAGACCATCACGTGAGCTGTCAATGCTCAAAAATGATCCCAGATTCCTGACTTTGTTGACAATAAGGGCACTTTTGGTACTGGTAATTGACTGGCGACTCGCCGTTGCGTTGGGTGAAGAAGAGCTTGGTTCCAAGTCATCTTCCTCTCTACCGTTAGCATGGCGCTCGTTAGAAGCGCCATCGACGGTATCGTTTACCTCAGAAGGTGCCACTTTCACCGGAGGCCCACCTTTGGAAAAGTACTTCACCAATATGCCAAACAAGGCGAACGAAAAGAGGGATGGAATAAACGCTGTGCCTTTAACACTCAGAGGAACTCCAAAATATCGAGAGTTCATTTTTTGATCTTCTAAGCCGTAAGTTTCATTGGTCAGAGGATTCACGTGCGACCATCGCCATGCGTAACTTAACGTTTCCTCGGTAGCATTGGCCAGGAAATCTCTATCAGCGACCGTGTAAATGTAATCTTGATCGTCGGTGTATTGACCGTAGGTAAAAGGTTCGTAGAAGATCTGATTTTTCCACATGTTCAGGTCAAGAATCATAACAATGAAGATGATCCCGTAGTTGAACCATTTCCCGGAGATGCGGATATCTCCCCCGGGAATATGGAAATGAAAGTTCCCTGTATTCAGACCCGGGAGTTTTATGTCCATCCCTCCGTCAAAGTAAGGGAAGTCCCAGTCCTGAGACAGGATAAAAGTAATAAAAATAAATTAGGTAAAGTCTGCATGCGAGCCAAGTGGCCCATCAGGCCAGAGCTTATCCCAGTTTCTGTAGCGTGAAGCGACTAGGAGTATTTCTACTCTCCCCTGTGCGGGATGTTAGTCTATCGCAGGGTTACCTCCAGCATTAAATTCGCCGGTACCCATTTATACACCTGGGTGGAGAGAGGTACTTCGAGAGTAAAGTGTCTTGCACAAGAACACACCATAATTCCCCGGCCAGGGCTTAAACCCGGACCGCTCTATCCGGATGCGAGCGCATTAACCATGAGGCCACCTCGCCTTCTTAAAAAATAATTAAGACGGTGGTAGAAATTAGAAAGATATACTTGTTACATTGGTATATTGTTGTTCGATGCTTAGCGTCGGAAGCTTATTAATTCTTTTAACGGCATTCACATCTAAATTAAAGGCAATTACCTGGGGCTTATTTCTCGAATGTCCCGAAATGTTTTCACACCCGGAAAGCCGTAACAAAATCTCAAACTTTATGATTACAGAGCTGTTTTATTCACATATTCTTAATATAAATAGAGGTTATCTTCATACAATAAGTTTCAGGAGTATACTCCTTTCTGTTTTTAGATACAGATTAATTAAAAATGGCTTTGCGGGACCGATAAGTTTTCCGGGGCTTTCGAGAAACGAGCCCCTAGTGACTTACAAGCTATCAAACTACAAGACAAGTAGAACAAGTGCAACCATCTTACTCATTTTTGTGTGCGGTATGAAACGTTCAATAGTCAAGAACTTTTCTACACATTCTTCCCCCTAACATCACAAATAGGCCATTTCCGAGTTACTGTGCCTCTGTGTCAAAACGAGGCGAAACCGTTCATATGAAAATGTGTTCCGCCTAGAGGTTCATTTTCGTGTCAATCAAACTCGTTTTCATATGAAAGGTTTTGCAAGAGGACTCGTTTTGAAACAGAGGCACAAGATAACTCGGAAATGGTCTATTCTCTTTTACCGATTAGCACATCAGCACTTACTTTATGTAAGACAACGCGAATAATACCTGCATAACAATCAGAAGATCCATAACCAAGATAAAGGAGGCCAAGTACGCCCTGGATATTTCGTTGGTGGGCATGAAGTCACTACTAATTTCGTCCCAGTTGAGGTAGTCAGTAGTGATGGCAGTTGCTACAACAACGCTCATACTGAATGAAATAAACCAGAACGCGTAAACCCTGTTTCTACCACGCCTCCAAAACGCTCTGAGGCCTGGGCTCCAGTCTGGGTACTGCTCCTCCTGCGGAAGTGGGAAAATATTTTCCGGTTATTGTCGCAAGCTTTAAGAGCAAATTCCCAGAAAAATCAAACAAAATCAAATTTCTTCGGCAAGGCTAGAAAATTCAAATTCACTCGTTTTTGCACATAGCTAGCCCCGAGAAAAACGACATTTTCGATTTAACCTTCAGACTCAATTTTATGCAATTTAGCGAGTCCCAACTGGGCTGAAAATCGGGGTGTCTACAAAAACGAAGACCTAAGACCTAAGACCTAAGACCTAAGACC